GAGTCATAATGGTCCAAAAAGTTTCTATATATTGATTGATCATTATTTTTTCAATCCTCCCATCCATTTTGTTTTGACCTGTTTTTTTATTTTTGGGTTACGATGGAGCTGGTGCCTATCTCCAGTAGTCACTATGTGAGAGACGGGGGACACCTACACAACTATTTGGGACTAATTGGACTTACAATTAACCTAACATACATGTTTTAGATCTGTTTTTGGTGGGAGGAAACCAGAATATAATACAAGGAGAAAGCATGCAAATTCCACATGGAAAGGGCCAAGCATGGATGCAAACCTGCAACATTCCAGCTGTGAGGGGACAGCACTAACATCTGCCTTGTTGTGCTACTCTTATCAAGCTGAAGTCAATTTTTGTATATAGCACACATTCACCTAAAAACATAATTTAAGGGCACCATACAAAAGTGAAAAGCTCAGTGACATTACTCTTTCACCTACCAAGGAGAACTCCAAAGTACAGGCTCCAAGATTGGGGCTTACAAGCAGCCCACACCAGCATGGTACCTCTGGGCAACTCTACAGTGGAACAAAGTCCAGCCCTCCCAAGGACATTGGGACACCTAACCTAACTGCACCTGACCCATATGGCTACTCTTGCAGGTGGTGGGCCTGCAGGAATGGGTAGAGGTCTGGTAACCAAGTGCTCGCCCATAAAGATCAAAGTTCGAGGTGACTTTATTGTCATTCGCATCACATGTGGTACATGAGGTGGAACAACATTGTGTACTCAAGGTCCCAGTTACACCTAAAAATAGCAAAAAATATTCATCCATCCATCCATCCATTATATTTTACCTGCTTCTTCCATTTTGGGTCACGGGAGATGCCGGTGCCAATGTCCAGCAATCACTGTGTGAGGGGCGAGGTACACCCTGGATGGGTTGCAAGTCCATCACAGGGACACATAGAGACAAATGAGACAAATAACCATTCACTCTCTCACTCACACCTAGAGACAATTTAGAGTTACGATCAACCTAATATGCATGTTTTAGGTCTGTGGGAGGAAACCAGAGTACCCAGAGAAAACCCACGCATGCACGGAGAGAACATGCAAACTTCGCCCAGAAAAGTCCCGGGACCAAGATTTGAACCAGGGACCTGCTCGCTGAGAGGCAGTAGCTCTACCAGTTGCACCACCATGCTGCCCTAACAAAAATATAAACTATAAAACAGGAACACTATACCAGATAAATTACGTTATTAACTTATTTTGTATGTATATGAATGTTTTGTTCAGTGACCTGAGATGAATTTGGTTGTGACTTGGTGCTATATAAATAAACTGAATTGAATGGAGAGTGAGATTGGCAGATGGACTGGTGCAGCCTCTGCAGTATTGTGGACTCTGTACCGGTCCATTGTGCTGAAGAGAGAGCTGAGCTGTAAGGCAAAGCTCTCTGTTTACCGGTCAGTCTACTTTCCTACCCTCACCTATCACGAGCTCTAGGTAGTGACCGAAAGAATGAGGTCATGGTTACAGGCGGTTAAAATGAGTTTCCTCTGCATGGTAGCTGGAGTCTCCCTTAGAGATAGAGTGAGAAGTTCAGTTATCCGGGAGAGACTCGGAGTAGAACCAATGCTACTCCACATCGAGAGGAGCCAGTTGAGGTGGTTCGAGCATCCGACACTCCCTGGGCACCTCCCTAGGGAGGTGCTTCGGGCATGTCAGACTGGGAGGAGACCCAGGACACGCTGGAGAGACTATGTCTTTTGGTTGGCCTGGGAACGCCTTGTAGTCCCCCCAGAAGAGCAAGAAAAAGGTACCCGTAGAAAAAGATGTCTGGGTCTCCCTGCTCAAGCTGCTGCCCCCCGACCTGACTTTGGAGCAAGTGGAAGATAATGGATGGATGAATTGAATTATACAAGGATCTAAGATATATGCTAAACAATAATAATATAATAAAATACTGTGTATGAAACAGCAGCCTGAACATGAATTTGTTGTGAGCAGATGAGTAGGAATATAGCAGCTTATGGGGAAGAAATCAGCAGCATGGATAATCAGCAGCACATATAGTCACATATCACCAACTAAAGTGGCATTACAGTGATTTTCCTGGTTAGGGATTTATGAGTCTAACAACTTGAGGGTAGAAGCTGTTCCTCAGTCTAGTGGTTCTACACTTAATGCTCCTAAACCTCCTGCCTGAGGGGAACAGGGCAAAAATTGTGTGTGCTGGGTGAGTGGAGTTCTTCATGATGCAGGTGGCCCTCTTCCTGCATCTGGAGGTGTAAATGTCTGTGTTGGTGGGGAGACTGACTCCAACAGACTTCTGTGCATCCTTCACCACTCTCTGCAGAGCTTTTCTTTTTACAGCTGCGCAGCCTCTATGTCACACGTTGATGCTGGAGCACAGGATGCTCTCCACTGCACACCTGTAGAAGGAGGTGAGGACTGAGCTTCCCAGACCAGCTCATCTCAGCTGCCTGAAGAAGTAGAGTTGCTGATGTGCTTTCTTGATTATACTGATAGTGTTGTTGCCCCAGCTGAGATTGTCATTCAGGTGCACACCCAAGTACCCGTAAGACCCTTCTCTAGGTCTGGCTCCAGGTTGGAGCCCCCGAAAACCCATTTCCTGGCAATGAACATTGAGCTCCTCTTCAGTACATATGAGTTGTAAAAGCTCTTTGTCTGGTCTTTCACTTAGGACCAGTGTGTCCATCCATTCATTATTTTAATCCGCTTCTTCCATTTCATGTCATGGGGGTCACTGTTGTCCATATCCAGGAGTCACTGTGCGAGGGGTAGGGGACACCCTGGCCAGGTCTCCAGTCCATCGCAGGGACACATAGAGACAAATGAGACAAACAACCATTCACTCTCTCACTCACATCTAGGGACAATTTAGAGTTACCAGTCAGCCTAACATACATGTTTTTGGTCGGTAGGAGGAAACTGGAGTACCCGAAGAAAACCCATGCATGCCTTGGGACAATTACCCCCAACAGCATAGCTCCTAAAATCATTTGGGTACCCAAACTCTTCCACCAGGATAAGGCAGCAATTCTTGGAGGAGTGTTTGTCAATATATTGCATTGCATTATGAATTAAATTACTGACTGCTGTATATGGGCTCCAGCAACCCCACAACCTGAGAACTTTTGTACAGTGCCCTGAAATTACTTTTGTTGTGAATTGTCATTATATATAATAAGAGTACCACATGCGGCACAGTATATACCTGCTGACAAACTGTTATACAGCAAAACAGCAATCTATACGAATGGCCCGGGCAAGCAAAGACCTTGTGTAGCCTTTAACCTTGATTTTTGACCTTGACCTTAGAGCTGGGGTGATGAAAAGTGTATGTGACACTTTGTCTAGAAATTATGTATAAATGTATTACATTTTGTAAAATTATCTTTAGCTGATCAAAGTTTATGAGAGGGACAATAGAAAATTTACAGACATGGACGGAGACTATAACATAATACGCTCGCCTCCAACATGCATGTAATAATTTTAATTAAATAGACTTTTATTACTTTTAGTATATTTAAAAAAAGTCAGTTAGTAACAATTTGTCAAAGGAAACCAGCAGACTGAGCTCATTCTTCACTAGATATAATCCCCCTTTCTGAAGAAGCGTGGTTTGGCAGGCAACAGTGGAAAGAACCAACTCCCTTTTAACAGGATGATGAAACCTCGAGCAGAAGCTAAACCCAGATGGTACCCCATCTGCCTCAACCAGCTGATGGTTGAGAGGACAAGAAGGATACAGACAAATGAGTTTAGCCATTCACATGTCCTATAGGAAGAAAAACAAAGAACACAAAGATAATGGTAGCAATAATTGTGAATACAAACTTGGAGAACAGAGCAAGTAAAGACTGCAGGTTGATGAAATATGGTCGGTATCATTCAATGTGGAAAAAATGTCTGGATTAATCAGTCTTTGTGAAATCTCCATAGTTTTTGTCCTACCAGAAATAAATTTCACTTCCTCTTCTCACTCTTGTTTACTTCCTACTGCAAAAGATTTTGTGGATAATGACCTTCAGTCAGCATATTCACAAGGTTTCACTAGTGGGGTTTCATTTTAATTTTAGTTTTTTTTCTTCTGCTGGTTGTGTAGATTTTCACATTTGTTCGAACTGCATGCAGGTTTATAAGTGCACTGTACTCTAGTCTGTCCTGCCTGGTGACTCACTGTGAACGACCCATCCACTGCATTACATCGCTGAGAAGACAGGGTACATATGAAACAGTCTATGGTGGTTATGTAATTGCTTTCATTAAATTGATTATGCAATCAAAGTCAGTGAAACAGACAGACAGGCAGGCAGGCAGAGAGATGGGGAGTGGGGATGTTGTGCATGTACACAAGTATGCCTACATACTGTACATACACTGCACTCAGGCAGGCAAGGGAATTTTCTGTCTTGTTAACAATAATAAAAATGGCTCCACATGACGCTCTTGTCTGTGCTCAGTGTGACGGCAGGTTTGTCCTGACGGTCTCACCTACACTCGTGTGCAGCACCTCATACTTTCCTTTTCTTTCTTGAAAGCCTCAGTCAGCCTCTTTCTTTACTTTCTCAATATTTATCGGACCCCAGGGGGCACCCAGCAGGCACCCCTCCCATCTACCGTCACTCACTTCTTCGATCAGTTCTGCTATGGAGAGTTCCTGGCTTCTCTGCTGGCTTACCAATTTTTTGTTGGTTTGATTTTAAATAAAGAAAGCAGATAAAGACAATGTGAAATCTTTTCTTCATTTTTTTGTCTTGCATCTCATTATTTCATAGTTGGCACTTTGTATCACATCTCACTAATGACTGCTCCATTCATCCATTCTCTCCTTCTCACTTGGTCTTACTGTCAAGAGACTGACAAAACCGTTTCATCCCAGGACTGTGTTTCATAACTTGGGCTTATGAGTTTTCATTCTGCTCATCATCTACTTTTTTCCTCCAGAGTGCAATTTAACTGAATTTGCCTTTTGTTTTGTCTTTTTTCCTTTCTCTTGCAGCCAAAAAAGCACCGGATGGCTCAGTCATCGCCAACGGCTACTGCGACTTTTGCCTCGGAGGCTCAAAGAAGACTGGCTGTCCTGAAGACCTGATCTCCTGTGCAGACTGTGGACGTTCAGGTAGGAGACCACTGAAGCCAGTGATTGGCAGGAGAAAGGCAGCCATCTGCTGATGCAACATTCTGACAAGTTTCCTTTTACCGAGTACGAAATTCATATTTAAGGAAATGAAAATCTGGATCTTTGATTAGATCTTTAAAATAAATGGACCATGCCATTGTTTTTGCTTTAGCCCATCTAATAAAAGGTTGAACTATGTATCTGAATTCAATGATAACTATTTAAGTCTCCCTTCAGAATGGATGATGGCCCTGCTATGCTCTTCAATGATTTATTAGTACACAGATGGATTGTGGCAAATTTGGAAAATCTCCTCCAGTGTAATGATAATCACAATGCTGATACACTATTAAAATCCTAACAGTTATTTTCCATATCACTGAAACATTTTCCTGCACTCTCATTTCACTCTATCTATGAGCAACATATTTCCCAGTTGGTTCTACCACTTATAATCACATCATCTCCTAGGCCTCACTTTGACTCAACTCACTTGGACTGCATCAGGATGCTAAAAGATAAGTCCACCCCACCACAACACTACCATACGGCCATGTGTAAGCTTGTTGGGGTCATGGCATCGGTCATACAGCATGGCCACACGGGTGTGTTCAAGCCCCACTTCATGAATACATTGACGCTAGCCTCTTCCACACTACACAGGATCCCAACACTCTGCTACCAAAATAATAAACCACCACAATTTCCCTTCGTTTTGCACAGCCATCCATTTTATACCACTTATCTGTAGTTGGATCATATCTGTGGTTGGGCAACAGGTTTAGAAGGGAAACCCAGACATTCCTTTCCCTAGCAAAAACATTTCAGCTCCTCCTTGAGGATTTCAAAGCATTCCCAGACCAGAGAGGATCTATAATCTTTTCAGGTGTATTCTAAAGGCCCCAGTATACTCAGGCGGACCTTTTTCCGCGCGGACTCGACGTGCATTGTCCACAGAGGGTTGAGACTTCATACTCGAGTGTCCACCCTGAGTGGCTGCAGACCAGCTCCGCAGGCAAGGGGCATTTACCTTCGGGACAAATTGAGGTCGCCGATTGGTCATTTGCTGACACGCCTACTGGATAGATTGACAGGTCGCAAAATAAAATTTTTAAAATTTTCAACAATGAGAGCTGGTAGCCCCAGCCGCAGCGGTGTTCTATGTTTATATGTTGTTAATAAAAAGTTCTAAAAAAACAACAACAAAAAAACAGGGAGCGCTGGCCCTGTAACCCACACATCAGACCAGCCCACCAGGAAATCTCCAGACCCTCCCGCAGCCACGCTGGACTTGATTTTAATTAGCTCGTGACAAATTCCTTCATTTCTCACCATTTCAGTCATGGCGTCAATGGAGGAGGAGGAAGAGATCGCTTGCCTTTTGGCAAAGAAAAAAAAAGAAAAGTTAATTAAACCAGATCAGGGATGAAGAAGGGGAATTTAATGCATTGATGTCGCAAACAAAACAGTCCTTCGCTGGGCAGTTTATTATGGGACCCTGAGTACGCATATGTGGTCGTCAAAATTGAGCTTTGTACGGAAATGCCCTGCGGGCGTCCGCTTCGACTCTAATACGGTACACGCGGACCTCCGCAGACTGAAGTACGCCTGAGTATACTGGGGCCTTTAGTCTGCCCTAGGGTCTCTTCCCATTGAGACAGCCCCAGAAAACCTCCAAAGAGAGGCACCTGGGAAGCGTTTCCATCAGACGTTGGAACCAGCTCAACTGACTACTTCTGATTTGAAAGAGTACCGGCTTTATTCCATGCTCCTGCTGAATGGCAGACCTTCACACATCTTAAAGGCTGAGGCTGACCACTCTACAGAGCAAGCCCTTTTCATCCACTTGTGTCCTGGATCTCATTGTTTGGGTCATAATCAGTACCTCAAGACCATAGGGAAGACTAGTGGTCTAGGGAGACTCTTCCTGTATCTTAACCCTCCATCACCTATCACTCTTTAGGCTATTTCTAAAAACATTTCTGCAAAATGCCGGCATAGACCTGTCTATATTTATGCTTCATTTCACTTTTCATGAATCACAGATAAAGCCGGCTACATCCTGCACAAACATGAGCATTTAGAGATGATGAGGGAAGTGCGGAACCATAATAGGCATGGAGCAGAACTAATATTATTTTTAATAATGTGATGCATTATTAAAAATATTAAATTAAAATTACATCTGCTGATATTTGATATTCCCTCTGTAATAAATTTGTATGTTGTTTAATCCCACGAGCAGGCAGTCATACACTAATCTCATTCGTTCATCACATTAATGAGCTGCGGCACCCTTGCATACTTTTATCCATTTTAGTGGTCCTGTCTTTGTCTTTGCCTAGTTTGGTGGCACAGAGTTGCACCAGGGGTGCACTCGCCACCTTGGTCCGTTCAGAAATCTCACCATGGTGGCCAGAACATGTCTCAGTCCCAGACTAAAAGGTGTCTTGTCAAAGAGCCTTCTGTCACATGTGCTGAGGACCCCACTGGGTTTTAAATACACCCCTGAAGACCAAATCACTATTTTGGCTTTATCTTTTTCATTATGGTGGGGTTGTCATCCAGTATGAAGGAGGCCTAATGCAATGTTTCAGACCCATTTGTGTTTTTGATAATTTTAACAGTGATCATCTTGATTTTGCTGCTGTGTGTAAATATGCTTGTTTAAACAACTGGCAAAAAACAACAACTTTAAATCTTAATGAAATTCATGGTTTTTATTTTCTTTTGTTTTGTTGGTGCACTAGAACACTATGTGGTATTATGCAACGTAGACTAAATCAGAAAAAAATACTTTTATCTAATAAAATAACTTGGTCGAATGAATGAAATTTAAAAATAAAACAGTGTAATGTGATAGGTACTGGTGGCTTTAATGTAAATTGTTCCAAAATAGTTTATCATTACTATTTGTGTTATGTTTTACCTTTGACAACTCAAGGGCTTTTTGCATTTCTTGCATCTAATTTCACTATTGTATCAAAATTCAATAATGATTGATAAGTTGTGATCAATAGTAATCATAGTTACGTTTAAAAAATAACAGATTGGATGTAGCTCAATGATTTGGGCCTGTACCAATCTCTAAAAATACGCTGCCTGCTGATAATTTGACCTTTTAAATGTCGTCTTGATGTGACATTTTTTTTAACAACAGAAATAATTTTGTCTATTGTTTTATCAGCTAATTGTAAATAAATAAACTTCTCTTTGTTTTTCATTTGAGATTGATTTAACAGATGTTTGTGAATGTTTTTGTTAAAGAATGCCAGATATTTTTTTAAAGTAGTGTTGGAATATTTTATAAAATGATTGTATAATTTTCCCATCATTTGCTTTTTACTTTGATTACGTGAAGTGTTTGTACAGTTTGGTTCCATGTAAAACCACTGATTGTACATGGTGCAGAATCTTTGTGTTTATTATTTCACTGCATGTGCTGTATATATGTGCTTATTCTTCATGTTTCTTTTTATCTGAAAAATAAACAAAGACCTAAAAAGATTGACGTGAATTGTAGTGAATGGGCTAATGTAAAAAAAAAAAAAAACATTGGTATGGTCCTTGTCTTTAATGTCACATAAAAGGCAAATGAAGGTCAGGAAGTTGAAAAATGTGTCCATAATCATGAGTATGGCTGTTTTCATTCACTATAAATTTCCCAATATCAGTTATTTTGCAGTAATATTTGAAAAATTTACTTAAAGTGTTAATTTACTTTATAGTGCCATAGAAAACATATGGTAGAGTATTGAAACAGACCATCACAGGCTAACTTATGCTAATGCTAACATCCACATATCATGCTTATAATTTTCAGACATTACAAATGTGTATAAGTGTTTTATCTCCTCTTTCATCTGAGCTGCAGGGCTTGAAAACTTATTAGAAAATGTGAAATGATCTTTTAAGATAAAATATTCAAGTCTAAATATGAAACGTTAAATACATTGTATGCTGCCAAAAACAAACAAACAAACAAACAAACAAACAAAAAAAATGGTAAGCTGCAGTTTAATTGTTGCGCTGCACAGCTTTTTAATTTTATTTATTTATTTATTTATTTATTTTGTATTTGCACACAATCTTCAACTTTTAAAATCAGCGCTTTGTGCAGAAATATCAAAGTTCATGCTCAATAATCCAGGTAGAAAATCCAACAAAGTTCAGTCAGGTCATGTGGGCCGTTTCTTTTTTTTTTTTTTTTTTTTTTGAGACGTTTCGTCCTTCATCCGAAAGACTTTGGCTGTGGCTGCCTCAGGAGTCGACGGGGGAGAGGGAGGGCCCCAAAAACCATTTTATCACCAGCAAAGTGGTTGGTCCACTGTGTGGGTTTGCTGCTTGTGGGACTCAGTTTGTTTGTGGCTCCACAGATTGATGAAGTCCTGTGGACGAAGGACAAACGTCTCGACAACAACAGCAAAAATGAACCCTTCCAGATGACCTGACTGAACTTTGTTGTATTTGTGCAGAAATATTTTGTAGATTATATAAACTGACAGCATTATTATACTTAAGGGTTTTATATAGTTACGACTTGTGTGAATAAATAAAATGCAACAAAGAAAGTATAACAGATATATGTACATAAAGTTTGTCTGTTTTATAAAAACAGATGATGTAAATTACACTTTCTCAGTCAAAACCAGTACAATTTAAGTTGCCTACAACCTCAGATCCCAGTGTGAATTGTAGCGTAGTGTTGTTTATTTATACCACAGATGGCTGAAAATACTCTGTGCATAATTATGAGGAATGTTGCATTCAAGTAGTGTTTGAAATACAAAAATACAAGACTATTCCCAATTTAGGTTAATCTATAGTTGCCACAATGTAGTGAGTGAGTGACCATATGAAATACAACCTGTGCATCTGCAAGAAGAGCACAAAGGAAAAATTAAGGTAACTTTATGAGACGGAAGGGACACATTTATTTATGAAAGTAGCAAAAATAGTATGGATATTTGTCTGCCAAATTTGATAGTTTGTCATACCTTTATACTTGGATAAAATGACGACTTCTGCTGACATATTTATGTTAATATAGGAGGAAAATGTTGCCTAAAAATATGTTTTAAAAATTACAGAGTTAAGTTCAGGATGACATAAAATCATGGACACAGAAAATGTATAGTGGATGATTGTACTCAAACTACTGAAGCAGTGGTAGTGAAAAACATGTTTGCATGTATGTTTGTGTGTGTGCGTGTGTGTGTGCATGTGTGTGTGTGTGGGTGTGTGCACCAGGCCACCCATCCTGTCTTCAGTTCACAGTGAATATGACGGCTGCGGTGAGGACTTATCGTTGGCAGTGCATCGAATGCAAGTCCTGCAGTTTGTGTGGCACCTCTGAGAATGATGTAGGATTTCTCTTTTTACTACATGTTTACTCCAAACACATGTGGCTGCACACACAACCACACACACACGCACACACACACACATATATGTATATGTATATATATATATATATATATATATATATATATATATATATATGCAAACGCAGATAATCTTGTACTTGTGGCTTGAATTTATTGGTGGTGTTACATGTTAAGCATCAGATGTGTTTTCAAGGCCAAGTGTGGTGATAAAGTCAAGCACAAGAAAAATGAACTGCAGAAAGGTTACACAGATAATACAGCAGTAAGAATGACAAAGATTTCCATAATAAAACGCTGACGCAAAACTGAAGAAAGTTGTATTTTACTCTTTATTATCAGTCTAAATGAGTCTTGAATTGTATTATGAGCATTACATTTTAAAACTGACATAATTTACTTTTCAGAAACACATTTGACCAAACTAACTGAAATATAAACTCTCTGAAATAAAGTTAAGCACCCAGAAGAAATAGCCCAATTTGATGCACATTCAGATCATTAATGAGTATGTAAATGATTCAATTTGCCAGGAACTGGACGTCTACAACGGGCACCAGAGGGTGTAATTGGTGGCATCAGAGTAATCCTGCTGTCAGGCAGTTGTCAGAGGGTCCGACGGTCAGTCTGAACTGGGAATGAGAGTCAGCAGACACAGAATGCCTCATAGTGTTTCAGGAGGTTTGATCTCAACACAAGGAGCTTGAATATTAGAAATACAACTTTATTATAAAAATAAAATATAGAATAAACATGAAGATCAGTTCACAGAGGGGCATTAGGAGGCACGAGGAGAACCATACTGTGTCACTGTACCATAGAATATGCTGCTGAGGACGTGGTAAATACATTGATTCAAAAGACAGGGATAACAAGATAAAGTAGTAACAGGTGTGACAGGTCAACAGGGTGCAGGTGTAAGTGGGCATGGCAGAACTGGCTGAGGACAGACAACTGAGAAGAAGTGAATGAACACAAGTGAAGCACAAATAATATTGCTAAATGATAAAAAAAAAATACTAATCATAAAACAACAAAGAACATTACCAAGAAATTACAAAGAGCAACATTTCTGGCACATAGATACATTATAAAGCATTACCAGCACTTGACAAAGACTGATAGTGGTCTTAGTGTGGGTTTGCATTTAGATGGGTGGTCATATCATGTGTGGCATGTGGGGTGTACAGATTCCACAGGGGTCTGATGTTGGAATCAATGGGTACGTAAGGCCTCCCACACACATTGTGAAGGTTCAGGTTGCCCAAGATCAATCATATTGTGGGTAAGGCATTATAGAACATCAAGACATCTGCAACTGCCACCCAGACACAGATACCCTGTGTCATCCTGCCCTATGCTTCAGTGATTGTCATCAGCTGGACATTGGATTCATTGTTCCCTGTGTAGGTTTCCATTTACACTAGAGCAGGGACGGCTGTGTTTGGTGTGGTGCTCTGACCAGGAGACATAGACTGATCACCATCAGTATATATGGTGATCACCATATAAATATGGTGGTGCTGAAGTGAGAGGACCAGTCATTGTTGAGAGACATCACAGCATCACTCCTGGCATTGTGATGTGAGGATCCTCAAGGTAGGTGTTCAGGTCAACTTGATCACAACCTTGTCTACAGACTGCTCACATCAGGTTGAGGTCTCCCCAATTTATATGGTGTTAAAAGATTTCTATGAGTGCAATTTTATGACCCTCCATTGTGGAGAGAAGAAGGTTGCAATAGAAATACCCTTCATCCATCTGTCCTTCTGTCTGTGCACGTTGAGAGCATGATAAGTTGAAAAATAGGTGAAGTACCAACTTCTATTTTGGTGTGTAGGTACATCAAGGTGTTAGAAAAGTTCCTTTTGAAAATTGGATTGCCAAAACAAAATCCAAGATAGATGGTGACACCATATATGCATATTTGTTAACCCTTATGAACTGGATGACTTGAGGAAAAAAAGCAATGCTCCCACTTCCATTTTGGTGTCTAGCTGCATTATTATTATTATTAGACCTTTATTTGTACAGGTTAGTTCCCATTGAGCCTCAAAGACTCATTCACAAGAGAGACCAGACTACAGTCAACATACAGGCAGATGAGAAAAAGAGAACACGAGGGTGGAGGAAGCCAAAAAAATAAATAAATCATGTCTCACACCATTTCCTGGCTGGGAAATGGTGTGAAAGATGAAAAATAAAAAGACCTTGCAACATAAAGCTGCAACATACAATGACATCATAATACATTTATGCATAAAGGTCGACAAAGGCAGTGAGTTATCCATAAACACTCCAGAGTTCCAAAGTTCTGATAAGATGGTACAGTGTCTATCAGCATCATGGTTCTGATATCATCATGTGTGTGTGTGTGTGTGTGGGGGGGGGGGGGGGTAGGCAGGCAGGCAGAGCTTCTAGTTTATGTGTCCTCCAGGAGCAATTTGAGATAAGTTGACTCCAAGGGCAGCGGGGAAGCCAAATTTAGATAAACAACAATTGTTTGAGCCGCCAGACTGTTTTCTGTCTGCCTTGAAGTTCTGCTGGTATACTCAATAGCGAATCCAAGCAACCAGATTTATGGACATTCCGACCGGTCCGTGCTCAATTTAACGTTCTCCAAGATTGGATCCTTCATGATGGTGAGTTCCAGGAGCTGCAAGTGGCCTACGATTTTCAGAAATCACGTCCAGCTTGCAGTTGAGCTCTGTGTTTGAGAGCTTGAGCCATAGATTAGTCCTTCACATAAGGCTGGCAGCGTTACCATGGCCGAAACTGCTGCCGACGTCTTCCTAATTTGTCGCTCTCCATGGTATCCACTGATTCAAAATGCAGAAACCCTATTATCATAAATCCAATAATGTACACTTCTTCTGCGTCCTCCATGAAAGTTTAGAGGGACGGCCGGGTCTTGGTAGATTTGGAGTGGTCTGATACTCCTTTCATTTCAATATGATTGCTTGCACAGTGCTCCTTGGCATGTTTAAAGCTTGGGAAATCTTTTTGTATCCAAATCCGGCTTTAAACTTCTCCACAACAGTATCTCGGACCTGCCTGGTGCGTTCCTTGGTCTTCATGATGCTCTCTGCACTTTGAACAGAACCCTGAGACTATCACAGAGCAGGTGCATTTATACGGAGACTTGATTACACACAGGTGGATTCTATTTATCATCATCAGTCATTTGGGACAACATTGGATCATTCATAGATCCTCACTGAACTTCTGGAGTGAGTTTGTTGCACTGAAAGTAAAGGGGCCGAATAATATTGCACGCCCCACTTTTCAGTTTTTTATTTGTTAAAAAAGTTTGACACATCCAATAAATTTCATTCCACTTCACGATTGTGTCCCACTTGTTGTTGATTCTTCACAAAAAAATAAAATTTTATATCTTTATGTTTGAAGCCTGAAATGTGGCAAAAGGTTGAAAAGTTCAAGGGGGCCGAATACTTTCACAAGGCACTGTACATGGCACTCTTTATGGAGACCAAAAATGTTGACTCTAACAAAACTCATTTTATTAAAAGTAAAGCTGAGACATAAAACTCATGTGCTTATATGGATATTGTACTAAGGTAAAATGATTTTAATTTCCTATTTATACATGTTTCAAAATTATGTAAAACATATAGATGCAGATATAAAAAAAAAAAACTACAAACGTCAGAAACTGACTCTCTCACAAAGACAATTTCATCCATCCATCCTTCCATCCATTATCTTTACCCGTTTATTCCATTTTGGGTCACGGGGGTCGCTGGTGCCCATGTCCAGCAATCACTGTGCGAGGGGCGGGGTACACCCTGGACGGGTCGCAAGTCCATCACAGGGACACATAGAGACAAACGAGACAAACAATCATTCACTCTCTCACTCACACCTAGGGACAATTTAGAGTTACCAATCAGCCTAACATGCATGTTTTTGGTCTGTGGGAGGAAACCGGAGTACCCGGAGAAAACCCACGCATGCACGGAGAGAACATGCAAACTCCACCCAGAGGGCCCCTGGACCGGGGTTTGAACCAGGGACCTGCTCGCTGAGAGGCAGCAGCTCTACTAGTTGTGCCACCGTGCTGCCCCCAAGACAATTTCAATTTTTGTTAATAAAATAAAGTTAAACTGAGACACACAACTTTGCTGTAATCTGGGGCGTACAAATATTAATCTTTTAGTGTTACTATTTAATTATAGAAAAACACACAGTCTCACCAAGACACTCAAACAGGCTGCACGTGCCCCCGGTGACACACTTTCTTGAGGACCAGAAGTTTGATCACACGTGCAATTTGGATGTGTCTGTACCATGATGACGACACGCCAAACACATTAACATTTAATACAAAGTTAGATTTTAGATACAAAAGTCCTGGGCTTTGGGACGGAGAGAGGCTGACAGCTCAGCGGCTGCCCGCTTAAAGGCTCCCGTACACTTGAGCGTTTGTCAGTCCGCAGAGGTCCGCACGTATCGGATTAGAGTCGAAGCGGACGCCCTCAGAGCATGTCTGTGCAAAGCTCAATTTTTACAACCGTGTATGTGTACTCAGTGTCCCATAATAAACTGCCCGGCGATGGACTGTTTTGTTTGCAACAGCAATGTATTAAATTCCCCTTCTTCATCCCTGGTCTGGTTTAATGGCCTTTTCTTTTGTTTTTGTTTTTCCAAGAGGTAAGCGATCTCTTTCTCCTCCGCCACTGACGCCATGACTGAAATGGTGGGAAATTAAGGACTTTGTCATGAGCGAATTAAAATCAGGCCCAGTGTGGCTGCGGGAGGGTTTGCCGGAGGGTCCTGGTGGGCTGGTCTGATGTGTGGGCTGCAGGGTCAGCGCTCCCTGTGTTTTTTTTGGTGACCTGTCAATCAATCCAATAGGCGTGTCAGCAAATGACCAATCGGCAACCTCAATTTGTCCTGAAGGTTCACGCCTCTTGTCTGCGGAGCTGACTGCAGCCGCTCAGGGTGGACAGTCGAGTATGAAGTCTCAACCCTCTGCGGACAGTGCACGTCGAGTCTGCGCGGAAAAAGGTCCGCTCGAGTATACTGGAGCCTTAGGTAGAAACACTGTTCGCACCCAGACTCACTGTAAATCAGTGTGTCAATATTTGCCATGTGGGAGAATAGCAACATGTCGGTTATATGAGGCTCATCAAACAAACAAACAAACAAACAAACACATAAGATGTTAAACATTTTTTCTTCATTTTGAAAAGCATACACCGGTTCTTGTTCTGTTTATATTGCTTAAAATTATAATTTTCTCAAATGATTAGAGTTGCCAAAGATTAATCTATGTTGGCCAAGGCCACCATTTGCCATCCCCTGGCTTTGCCTTTGCACCTGCAGGTGGATAAAACACTCTGCACTGCCACTGACAGTAAAATAAATAAAAATAAACGAAGGAAAACCTACCCCTCTTGTTCGAACTCATACACAGTAGAATATCTTGCACTAAAAGCACTAAGGTTTACTTGCATTCAATTCCAGTCCCATAAAAACACTAATCTGGAAAACTAAAAACATTCACTACACAACATTCACTAGGGGGCGGCTGTGGCTGAGTGGTTAGAGCAGTTGTCCTCCAATGCCAGAGTTGGGGGTTCGAATCCACCATCAGTCACATGTCGAAGTGTCCCTGAGCAAGACACTGAACTCCTCGTTGCCTCTGATGTGTGTCCCATCGGTGTGTGAATGTGATAAAGCTCTGATTAGTCTCATTAGAATGATTTGTTCAATTAGCCTTGTAGAGATCTAGCAGAGTGCTGTATGAATGGGTAAATGAGGCACAGATTGTAGTGTAAAGCGCTTTGAGTATCTTGAAATAAGATAGAAAGGCGCTATGTAAGTACAGTCCATTTACCATTTACTATGCAAATCCTTCAACGATGGGGGAAATTGGCGTGTTGCTTGTTTAATTATTTTGATGCTTAACTTTTTGTCAGTGAACGTACACGTAAATGTAAATATTTTTGCACAGCTCTTTTTAAATATTAACATCTGTTCTCTTGTCTGTTCTCAGGACCAGCTGTTGTTCTGTGATGATTGTGACAGAGGCTACCACATGTACTGTCTTAGCCCCCCCATGTCTGAACCACCAGAGGGTATGCACAACAGTTGTCTAATACATGCTTGTAATCTCTAGTTACTGCAGACCCATGTTTGGTCACACCACACATCACACAGCCATCATCAGAGAACATCTTGTCATTGTTAGTGCAGCATTATGTAAGTGTTTCTGCTGTAGGAGGGGACTAACGCTCAGGAGAGCAAGACCTTTGATCAGAACTATCATATTTCTGTGTTACTTTTTACATAGTGAAAAATATAACACTCAGATATGTGCCGCTCTTTCCTGGAACATCCTAATCTGAATCCAGAGAGAGTCTTGGTTCTGTGGCGGCGATCACAGAAATGCAGCATCTATTTAAATGAAACTGTCATTTGCCACATAAGATGGCTGCCGCAGGATGTTTGATGGCGTTGTCATGGCAATGAGTAGTAGAAAGATAAGCTGTTTCCATGGTAAAAGTGTCACTTGCCTGAAGATACAGTAGCAGAGGCACTTGTGTTCAACACCCGGTAACTGTGTCGAGCTCTGCCCACACATGATTGCTTTTAATTTACAAGAGACTAGTTTTACCCTCAGCCTCTTCTTTGGCTCCCATTGGTTCTGTCACACAGATGGTCTGGACTCACATTTACTTTAAGGTATTAAAACCGGCAGATACATTTGAACATCATTAGCTGCAAGCTGATTATTTTTTGTCAAAACATTATGTGTCACTAGTTGTCGAATGGTCTCCATGAACAAAAACCTGCATTTTTAATGTGCAGTGTTCTCTGTGTCTTACAGGGAGCTGGAGCTGTCATCTGTGTCTGAGGCAGCTGAAGGAGAAGGCTTCGGCCTACATCACCCTCACTTAATCTGCAGAGCTCATCCTCTTGGCCTTTTATCCTCTCCCAAACCACCTCTCTGTCTACTCCGGCACCCTCACCTCTCCCCTTCCACTGATCTGCTCACCGAGACTCACTCTACAATCTGTGCCCGTGACCCTCGTCGCCACGCTGCATCCACCTTTGAGCGTCTCTCCAGCAGCAAGCCGACCTTCGTCCTCCTGTCACTGAAACTATCCTTTGTGCTTGACCTGAACCTCAGCCCCCTCCTCCTCCTCTTCTTCTTCATCTTCTCTGCTCTGTCTCAGCTGAGGGATTCATCAGCTGGCAATAAGTTTGCTAGCAAGACTCACACTTCAGGCCGCCAAGGGCACTTCTGAGGCATACCACTCCACAGGAAACCCACACAAGGGCCCTCGGACGAGCCCTAATGATCTTCAGCTGCAACTCTGTCAAGTGGCGAGGATAGAGATGGTGTTTGGGAGAGGACAATGCAGAGAAGAGCTCAGATAACCATCAAGCAGCGTTTAATTGTTTGCCAACTGTGAAATGTACACAAGACCAAAATTTCATTGAGCCCCTTGTGTCCTGGCAGAGCTGGGACACTAAACTCTCCTCCGGTGTTTGTCTGCAGGGCTGCCTGCCCCGTGAAGTTTCCATTGAAGAAGTGACTTGTACAGAATTAAGACAAATTTTTCAACTGCACACTCATGAACAAAGTCCACTCATTGGTGAATAAGGATCACCGGGTCAGGATCTGAGACCGTCTGTGACCTCAGCTCGTCTTCTCTCCATGCATGGGGTTCCCACGACTTTTTATGGTGCATTCTGGGCACTGAAGGTTTTAGTGCATGGGTGCAGTCTCCTGATTAAAGGAGGGGAAGCGAGCAGCTATCTCAGATCAAACCAAGTATTTAAGGATAATTTAGGTTCAGCCTCTCTCCCATGCAGTCCCCACCATGACTGTGAAGCCGATGCAAGACTGAAACGCTCCTGGTGCTCGGTGTGCTTTGTGTTCAGAATGTGGAAGCTGCAGATGTTCGTCTCACACATGCCAAGGCCTTGTAACAGATTTTTATGATTTCTTTTAAATTGCGCTCAAATGCATGTAATTATTTTAAGCGTTTTGACAAACGTTTAATTTAAATGTAAAGGAAAGCACACTTAATTCGCAATAACATGTTTGTGAGACAAACTGATCAGTCTTGTGTGTGTTTGTGTGTTTATTTGACAGTAGCTGCTGGAGGTTTTAAAGCTCGATGGGATTTACTTTTTTTTTTATGAGAGGAAGGGTGATTTGTGTGTAAGGAGAAAGACTTACCCATTAGGCAGATTTGGCACTAAAGAAATAATTTTCAAACTATGGAATCACTGATAAACTGTGACTCTTCCACACGGTCTGCTACATGATCGGATTTAAACAACGGGCAATGTTTTTGTAAAATACACAAGATGCCATGAGATTTTGAAGAGTTAAGCAAGATATACATGAGCCAATCCTTTATTTTATCCAAGATGCTTTTCAATTAACATTTTTCAAATCTTTACGGAATAACAAAAAAGCAAACGTTGTGTTGTCCAATGTAGCCAATTTCTTCTACAATTATCACAGCGTGTGAACAATTTTTGTCCCCGGCTTAATTATTTTTAATTTTTTTAAGGGAGCGGGGAGACTTCAGCCCATTCTTACAGTGAAAAGCTGTTATTTCTAAAAGCTAAATGCTTTTTCTTGGTTTCCCTTTCCTTTTAAAGCCTGTTTAACTCTTTTCAGTGACATTTAAGTTGAAAGACTATGCAGGCCGTGTCACCTGTTTTTGCTTAAACCTCATGGAGTAGAAGTAAAACAAATGTTCATTTCCAGCTCATTTTTTCCCTCAGTAATGTATTTATTTCTATACTTTGCCGTGTTTTTTAATTAAAGATTGCTCCTAGTGTCACCAGCTGCAACAAAAGTCCAACCACAATCAGTCCACGCTGCACAGAACTCTAGAAAAAGAATTGTCCTGATGAACTTCTGAACAGATCCGTCATAGCCGGAAGGTTTCAAGTCCTGCTTCAACATAATTATAACCAACATTTTCAGCTATAGCCTATTTGCACCTCATGCTTGCATCTAAACGGTGTTTTTAATGAGGAAAAAACTGTTGTTGGTTTTTTCTTTAAACTGTGTCCTCCATGTTGACTCGAGATACGAAGCATTTGAAAAATGATGACATCTTGGTCTTTTTATGAAACACAACAAACGTGAAGTTGTTTTTTTTCTTTCAGTCTTTTTGCCGTTAAACTTTGATTGTGTGCTGAAACATTAACAACTGCCGAGACATTATAAATGTTGACAAAGAAAAGAAAACACTAAGCTAAGCATGATCTTTCTTTTTTGATACATTAATGTGGAAATTCTCGCCCCCTGGTGGAACATCGTGGTATCGCACCTCGTTAAGTCGACTAGGCCTTAAAAAAAGTAACAAAAGATTTACAGCAGTACAAACTGGGTCTAAATTCATCATCCGTAGGATTTGTTACCAAAAGTTAAATATTTCTGTCTTTTATTGACGACCTTTAAACACAAATGTAACATTTTAACGTAACTGCAGGTGCTGGTCATAAAATTAGAATTTCATGAAAAAGTTGATTTATTTCAGTAATTCCATTCAAAAAGTGAAACTTGTATATTATATTTATTCATTACACACAGACGGATATATTTCAAATGTTTATTTCTTTTAATAATGTTGATGATTATAACTGACAACTAATGAAAACCCCAAAGTCATTATCTCACAAAATTAGAATATTACTTAAGACCAATGACAAAAAAGGATTTTTGGAAATGTTGTCCAACTGAAAAGTATGAGCATGTGCAGCACTCAATACTTAGTTGGGGCTCCTTTTTCTGGATTACTGCAGCAATGCGACGTGGCATGGAGTGGATCAGTCTGTGGCACTGCTCAGGTGTTATGAGACCCCAGGTTGCTCTGATAGTGGCCTTCAGCTCTTATGAATTGTTGGGTCTGGTGTATCACATCTTCCTCTTCACAATACTTGATAGATTTTCTATGGGGTTAAGGTCAGGCAAGTTTGCTGGCCAATTAAGAACAGGGATACCACAGTCCTTAAACCAGGTACTGGTAGCTTTGGCACTGTGTGCAGGTGCCAAGTCCTGTTGGAAAATGAAATCTGCATCTCCATAAAGTTGGTCAGCAGCAGGACGCATGAAGTCTCTAAAGCTCCCTGGTAGATGGCTGTGTTGACCTTGGACTTCAGAAAACTCAGTGGACCAACACCAGCAGATGACATGGCACCACAAACCATCTCTGACTGTGGAAACTTGACACTGGACCTCAAGCAACGTGGATTCTGTGCCTCTCCTCTCTTCCTCCAGACTCTGGGATCTTGATTTCCAAAGGAATCGCAAAATGTACTTTCATCAGAGAACATAACTTTGGACCACTCAGCAGCAGTCACAGGAGAGAGGCTTCTGAGGCTGTCTCTTGTTCAAGAGGGGCTTGACCCAAGGAATGTGAAAACTGAACCCTTTGTCTTGCATACGTCTGAGCGTGGTGGTTCTTAAATCACTGACTTCAGCTCCAGTCCACTCTTTGTGAATCTCCCCCACATTTTGGAATGGGTTTGTTTCTCCATCCTCTCCAGGGTGTGGTTATCCATATTTCTTTTACACTTTTTTCTACCACATCGTTTTCTTCCCTTTGCCTCTCTATTAATGTGCTTGGACACAGAGCTCTGTGAACAGCCAGCCTCTTTAGCAATGACCTTTTGTGTCTTGCCCTCCTTGTACAAGGTGTCAGTGGTTGTCTTTTGGACAACTGTCAAGTCAGCAGTCTTCCCCATGATTGTGTCAGAACTAAACTGAGAGACCATTTAAAGGCCTTTGAAGTTGTTTTGAGTTAACTAGCTGATTAGACTGTGGCACCAGGTGTCTTCAATATTGAACCTTTTCACCCTACTCAAATTTTCTGAAATACTGAATTAGTTGTTGGTTATAATCATCAAAATTAAAATAAATAAACATTTGAAATATATGAGTCTGTGTGTAATGAATGAATATAATGTAAAAGTTTCACTTTTTGAGTGGAATTACTGAAATTAATCAACTTTTTCATGATATTCTAATTTATGACCAGCACCTGTATATCTGCTTGCTAAGTTGTTGGTTTTTTTTTTTTTTACTTTAATAGAGCGACCCACAAAACACAAATACTGATTGTTAGAACAAAATTAAGGGAGATAATTGATTCTTTAAAAGAAGAAAGTATATAAAAAGGACATCTTGGTTAAAAAAATAAAATATTACACTATCATATTAAGAAGTTTCATCAGAATGTTTCATCTTGAATGTTATATTTTAGAGATTAAATTATTGTTTAATTTATTGCATATTAATGATAAAACAAGTTTTGATCTGAACTTCTATAAGACACTAGAAAAGAGTGATTTATTTTTTTTAATATCTTGGCAAAATATTTAAATCCTCAAAAAAACAGCTTAGTTTTTTTTCTCTAAACACTCCTCATTAATTTTAATTTCAAAATTTGTCGCAACATAGAAAACTCTGTGTTTCAATAATGTTTCTAAGGCAGATACTTTTAACGCATCTACTTGTATAAGCCCAAAAGCTGGGCTGGTAATCACCACGTGTCAATATTTAATCTTTTATATTAAGAATTATGAGTCTGTTTGGGTTGGACAAACAAAAATTTGTTGTTAATCACATAAAATTTCCGTTGTGTTCTGCAAAACCTGAGGCTAATCCTTTACAGAAAGTGAAATATTTAAGATGTTAGACAGTTTCTGCTTGTCTGCGCTGCACGTTTTTAAGCCTCAAAGCTCTCTTTGACAGGATGAGCTTAATGTAACACCGTGCATTTATCAACTTCCACTAAGAATTAAACAGGAAAAAAAACTTTAAGACCTGTTGTTTTATCTTCAACCAGTTGAACTGGATTCTGAAGGCCACTTTATGGAGCACACTTAAAAACAGAAGCGCTGAACTTGGAGGATATTTTCTAAAA